TCTTTCTTTTTCTTTCTTTTTTTGAGATAGTATCTTGCTGGCCTTGAACTTACTATGTAACCCATGCTGGCCTCAAACTCAGGGCAATCCTCCTGCTTTAGTCTCTCAATCTCTCAAGTGCTGGGATTACAGGTGTGCACCACCACACCCGGCTCCAATCACATTTTTTAAATCTTCCATTTCTTCTTGAACAAATGGAATTTTAGGTAGTTGCTCATGGTAGAGGTCCATGGCTTCATTAAGAATAAGGGGCTCGCCGGGGATTTAGCTCAGTGGTTCCAGTGCCTGCCTTGAAAGCACAAGGTCCCGAGTTTGATCCCCGGTACCAAAAACAAAACAAACAAGAATAAGGGGCTGGGGGCCGGGGATTTAGCTCAGTGGTTTCTCTGCCTGCTGCACAAGCACAAGGACCTGAGTTTGATCCCCAGTACCAAAAAATAAAATAAAATAAAGGGCTGGGAATTAGAAAAGAGAAAGAAATAAATAAAGATAGGAAAGGAAGAAGTTAAACTGTCATTATTTGCTGATGATATGATGCTTTACATAGAAGACCCAAAAAACTCCACCAAAAGACTTCTAGACTTACTTGACAGATTCAGTAGAGTAGCTGGATACAAGGTCAACACTCAAAAAACAATTACCTTCTTATACACAAATAGCAGACTCACTGAGAGAGAAATTTCGGAAATAATTACTTTTAGAATAGCATCTAAAAAAAAAGAAATATCGGGGCTGGGGATTTAGCTCAGTGGTTCCGCCACCTGCCTCGCAAGCACAAGGACCCGAGTTCGATCCCTGGTACAAAAAAAAAAAAAGAAATATCTAGGAATCAATCTAACAAAGGAAGCAAAAGACCTCTACACTGAAAACTACAGCACTCTGATAAAGGAGATCGAGGTGAATATAAGAAAATGGAAAGACATCCCTTGTTCCTGGGTAGGAAGAAAAAACATAGTGAAAATGGCCATACTTCCAAAACTAATATATAGGTTTAATGTAATGCTGATTGGAATTCTAACAATATACTTCACAGAACTAGAGAAAACAATCCAAAAATTCGTTTGGAACCAGAAGAGACCTAGAATAGCAAAAGCAATTCTAGGC